CTCAGCCCCCCGGCCGGCCCGCCTGCCCCTCGCGGAGCGCCCCGCCCGGCGTGCGGGCTGCGGGTTGTCCATGGAGGCAGCCTCCTTTTTCGATCCGGTCGAGGAAGAGGATTTGTTGTTCTCGAAATCGGAGTGAAGGAAGCACCGAAGCGAAACTTAAAGGAATCCTGCCATCCGGGAGCCTCGGGGATGCGCCTCGGGCCGCCGGGCGCTGCCGCCGCCCGCCCGGCTTCGCCCTGCCCGGCCGCCGGGACCGTGTTCTGATCCCGCCCTTCCCGCTCGGCGCCCGGCTATGTTCGCGCCCGACCCGGCTCTTTCTTTGATATCGTGAAACTCCGAGGGAAGTGCCTGCGGGGCCTTCTCCGCGTCTCCTGCCCCTCCCCACGGACATGCCCTCAGTTTGGGGGGCCGCGGCACCCCGGCCCGGGCGAGCGGAGCCCCCACGCCGCGGGGGAGAGCAGTGAAGGGGGTGCCTGCCGCGGCATGAGAGCTCAGCCGCTCGGGCCTCGCGTCTGCCGTTTGCCCTTCCAGCCCGCGCCGTGATTCGGGCCGTGGCCGTCGGACGAGGGAGCCCGGCCCGGCCGCGCTCCGAGTGCCCGCCGTTCCTTTCCCGTTTCCTGGCCCTGCGCGCCCGCTCCGGGGCTGCTCCGGGATGCCTCCCCCGCCGCGGCGGCCCTGGCGGGTGCCCGCGCTGCTCTGCACCGTCCTGCTGGTCAGCGCGGCGGCCGGTGAGTAGCCGGGGTGGCGCGGGGGGAGCGGCCGAGGCCGAGGCCTGCGCGGGGGAGGGCGTCCTGCGCCGCCGGCCCGGGGGAGCCCCGGCTTCCGTGCCGTTTCCAGTCCCCGCTCCGTGTCCCCACGCGCGGCCCCCGTGCCCCCACGGCGAAAAAGACATTTGGGTGTGGTATCGTGACATTTTTAGCTGTGAGGTAATGCAGGGATTAAAAATAATATTTTAATCCGCAGTGAACAGGGTCTGTTATGAGAAATTTGGAAACAGCTGTAAATTTTTCTTGTAAAGAGGCGGATTTGGCTTACAGTAAAGAGAGCATCAACTATAGAACACGCACTTGAACCTTATGTTTAAATTTAAATCACTCTTGGGAATCCATGTTACTTTCGTTATTCAAAAACGTTACCGAATGAATTGAATAAATGTGGAGGAAGCCAGAACTATGAGATTCTTAATACACTGTATAATACTGCTCGGTGTTATTATTATAAGTATTATTTTGTTCCAGAATATTTTAGTAATTCTGTTACCGTCTTTTCAATCTGGACGCTCGTATTTTATATGCTTTTGGAATTACTATTGGGCTTAGAAGTATTTTCGATAACTTTGCATTTAGTCATCTGGCATCTAGTGGCTTTCCTGTCATTGCGACAACTTTGACCTCACATCAGACTTCTAGGAGATTCAAGTCCTGAAAGTTCTTTGACGTTTTATTGAAGCTTAAAGGGAAATGTAGTCGTTCTTGCTTTAGGATATTTTGTTTTTAGTTCTCAGACACCTTAGGAAAAAAACCTCATGTTCCGTTTGCAATTATTTTTCAAGCACTCTTTTGGTGATATGGTTCTAGAAATTTTCGAGAGTGAATTATACATATAATTCTTAAATTTGGTTTCGGATGGCCAAATAGATTATGCATTTAAAAGTGAGTAAAGAACAACAGCTTTCCAATTTTTTATTTTGATTAGTGTGTACTTTTCACATTCAATAAATTTCTCATTGCTGTATTAGACACAGGTTGCTTGCTTATTTCCAAAGTCTGCATTGGGAAAATACTGAAAGAGAATTTGAAGTTTTCTTTTGTGCCTTTGATATTTTTGATTAGTGTCTACTTTGTTTATGATAAATGTATATGGTTGTGTTAAAATAATTTGAACTTCTGAATTAAATGTATTTTGAAAGTGATATTTTAATATTATTAATCATCACAATTCTTTTTGGGGTAAAAATGAGCAACGTTTTCCTAGATTTGTTTATATTGTGTTAGCTATTTAAGTTCTGTAGCCATAAGCCATGTGGTTACTGGAAAATATCAAGAGAGTAAAAGGCCTTAAGCTTAAGCAGGCATTCTAAGAGCAGAAATCTCAGAGCATAGACTTTTCAATATTCTTTGTTATTCTTGAGCTTTTTAGAATGTAGATTCTCATTTACAGTTGACAGGCTTGTCATTTTGTGGTCAGAACTGAGAAAAGTAAGAGAAAGAACATTGATTTAAAAAATAAACTTAATTTCTATTTGGTAAATAAAATATTAGAATAATGTCCCTCAAAAGGGGCGGATTAAAAGAATAACTGCTTAGGGGCCAGCCCTGTGGCGCAAGCAGTTAAGTGCGCGCGCTCCGCTGCAGCGGCCCAGGGTTCGCGGGTTCGTATCCCGGGCGCGCACAACGCACTGCTTGGCAAAGCCATGCTGTGGCGGCGTCCCATATAAACTAGAGGAAGATGGGCATGGATGTTAGCCCAGGGCCAGTCTTCCTCAGCAAAAAGAGGAGGATTGGCAGATGTTAGCTCAGGGCGGATCTTCCTCACACACACACAAAAAAAGAATCACTGCTTAAAAGTGGTTTTAGTCTTTTGTTTTTTAATATTACATAGCACCAGATGCCAAAATTTGTGAAGCTGGATTTCAGAGCTATAACAATAATAATAATGGCTAGTATTTATTGAGTGCTTGCTATGCACCAGCAACTATTCTAATAGCTTTACATGTATTTTCTCATTTGATCCTCATGACAATTCTGTACTCTAGGTTTAATTATGCGCCTTTTACAGAGAGGGTGAGTAAAGTACAGAGAATTTAAATAACTCACCACAGAGTCAGTAAATTGTGGAACCAGGATTATAGCCTGCACCCTTTCCTACCACATTAATGATAACAACAGCAGCTTCTCACTCTAATTGGGAACATGAGATAGAGTAGTGCCTTCACCAGATCAGCCTTTGAAAAGAAGCAGGGGCCCTTGACTCTGGGTACAGCACTGGTTATGCAGATGTCATGGTTCTAAACGTATAAAACTGCTTTGCCTAATATTGGAGTGGGTAGTGCAGTTTCAGTAAGTGCCAAGTGACTAGAGACCTGTGTGGATTTGGGATACATAGATGCAGTGATGTAACCAGACAGGTGCAAATAGTGCAGCTGAACAGGAAAAAAATACTGGAAGACTGAGTATACCACATCCCTCTTTGGGGTCATGAATAAATCCTCTATTTCTTTTGAATCCCTCTTTCTCACTTACTCTATCTAGTTCTTGGATTCGTTAATTCTAAGAACAGTTGGTATGCAAAAAAAGAGAATTTATTAAAAATATGGTGTGTTTGGTTTATAAATGAATTCTTAATTTTAATAAAAGGATACAAGCCAAAGCAGTACTTATTTAAGGGTCAGCTTTTGTAAAAATTTTTTTTGAAGAAACAAAGTTACCAAGTTTTATTTAGGTTGTAATGGTTGCAGATAACATATCTAACCGTGTATCCCACTCCACCCTATGTAGCCCCCTGAGCAGGCTACCCTTTTCTTCCAGTCTTACTTCTTGTCCTCCTCCTTTTTGTCCTTCTTGGCTTTGGTGGCCTGGGAGGCCAGGTAGCCCATGGCATTTCAAATGGCCTCATTGTTGGGATTCACGCCTGGAAGGTTCTCCAGGACACTCTGAAGGAACTCGGGGTTTTATATCACATCATAATCCTCCTCCTCCTTGGCTGGCTCAGATGTGTTTATGGCTGAACTGGCATCAGTGTCAGCTGATTCTGCCTGGTCAGTGTCAGCTGCTGCTACCTACATTTGAAATAATTCACTTGACTAGATTTCAGTTTTACGTACATCTCTTTAGGAACACACACATTGGCTAAAGCAAGATTCACCTATTTAGTTAGTGTTCTTGAGCTGTTAAATATTGTCGGGGAACTGGAAATTTAGTAATCTTTATTTTAATGTTCTCAAGATGAGAGCACTGCAACAGAATCATCTGTGGTTCTTGATAAAATGCATATTTCTGGCCTTACAGTCTAGATATACTGAATGGATCTCTCTGGGACCTATATATTTTTTTAAAACTTAAAATCCAAAAGATTATCATTCAGGCAAGTTTGAGAGCCACTGCTTTATATAATCAATTTTGATTGTTTGGATTTCCTATATATCGTGATTCAGCTTTTGCTGCATAATAACTGGCAACCACAAAATCATAGTGGCCTACAGCAATAAGCATTTATTCTGCTCCACTGTTACATTCTGGTGCTTAGGCTGGAGGGAAGGGTAACATCTCTCTCGGGGAAGCTTGTCTCATGGCAACGACACGAGTGCAAGAAGACAAGCCCAATCCACCAGCCACTTCCCGACTCTGCTCTTGTAACATCCCATTGGCCAAGCCCAAAGACGAGGGCTAGCAAAATACAACTTTGCCTATAACGAGGCCATGGTAATATATGGATGTATTAATACTGTTGTGGGGGAATGAACAATTGGGACCTTCAATATACCGCATAACAATCAGGATGATAGTCCAGGAAGGGACCCTTCTCTTACCATTTGAACAGGGCCAAACTCTTAATTAGGCCTTTGCATAAAAATTACAGCAACTTTCTCTACAAAAGCTATCCTGGCGTGTGGGGTGATGTGGTGGTAGTGGTGTTTGGTGTTGGTGTGTGTATGAAATGTGGGGAGAGAGATGCTTATTCCACACAAGGACAACAGCTTTCTTTCATTAAAGGCCAGCTTTCTTAGTGAAAGAAAAGAAATTGAATATTGATCTCTGACGGGTAAGTTCTAACTATAAAATGTACAGAGTGAAGTCAGTGTAAATCAGTTAATTTTATAACTGCCCATACCACTGATTTTGGCACTTAATCGTATATTGCCTTGCTGTTGAATATCAGTTTTATGTATTTGCCTTGTCCTCCCAACTGATAATTGCTTCTAGAGGACAGGGTTCATATCTTGAATTGTTTTGTAATCTACCATATTCCTATGCACATAGAAGATGTTTAAAAAATACTAAATGAACGAATAATAAAAAGGAATTGGAGCCAGGAAATATTCTAAGATTGCTCACTTACTCAAAAGATGTATTAGTAATTTATTCTTTCTTTGTCCCAGTTCCTTCAACTATAAAGTAGTTTAGGTGGTATGGTAGGAAGACCACTGTCTTGAGTTAATGAGACCTGGATTCTGTGTGATTCTGGGCAGATAGATTACTTAACATAGTTTTCTCAGTTGTAATATTATGCGATTGGACTAGATTATGTTTGAAATGCAGATTTCTGGGCACCAACCCAGACCCGCTTAATCTAAATATCTGGACAGTGAGTTTGGGAATCTGCATTTTAAACAAACATTCCCCAGGTAAATTTTATGTACCCTAAAGTTTGAGAACTACTGAAACTAAGATTCCTTCTAACTCTCAGGTTTTATTTTATTTTTTTTAACTTTTTGTGCTAATTATAACCTATTCTGAATTTTTTATTCAGTCAACATTGATAGCAAAAATTTCTTATTTTATGCTTTAAGTAATTAGAACCTTTTTCTTAAAATATGCACCATTTTTTCTTGCCTATTCTTGATCTTCAAGGTGATATGTTATTTAATGAAAGGTGCTTTGCTCACCCACTGTTGTATATGTTCATTTAGCTTGTACTTTTATTTCGGCCGTTTTATTTTCCTTTTCCTTCTGCCAAAAAGAAAAATTACTTGTTAGTAAAAGGAAGTGGTTTTACTTTTAGTAAATTT